ACAGAGATACGATGAATCCAAGCATTACCAGTGGTTACCACTGCGTGCTGGGACTGTGGATTAATTTCCTTCTTAGTGTTTTGAACTTTATTCAAATGAAGACGAATAATGTTATAATCATAAGGATAAGCCTTTCCATTTTGATAATTGAAAGTGTGAGAAGAATCTAGCTCAAAAGCATCTTACTTGTTCTTTAACTGTCACCTGGGGGTTTAGTACCCTCTCATTCTTTGGCAGAGAGGGCTGGGTACTGTGTTCCAGGCAAAGCCAGGCCCTGTTTGCAGGTGTGGGCTGGCCGTGTGTTTGGCCGACCGCGTGGTGCACACTGAAGGTGACCGAGTTTGGGAGTTGCAAGTGAGAGGAAAAACGAGCATGGTTAACATATGAAACACTGCGAACATACTCTTTATAGAGAGTGAGAATTAGCATGGGTCTAGCAACAATCACGGCTTTAATGCGTGCTACGAACAAATTTTAAAAAACAACCTTGCTTGTTTTAAAACGATTGAGGTCCTTCCCAGTTTTTAAAAATAGACCCAATACTGCCACAGAGAATGCATCAAAGTCTCCCTGATCTACCTACTTCGATTCTATGACTTAAAAATTGGACTATTCGAGTGAGTAATATACATTTATAATATATACATATATGTCCCTGACCTATCATGGCCTTTGAAGGATGATCTCTGCAGCCTTGGCATCTGAAATACTCAGCCCCCCCCCCCCCCCCCCCTGTAATCCTAGCAGCAGGGAACACCCCTTCCCTAGTTTGAGATGAGAGAGGCGGAGAGCACTGCCTATGAGACTAGACGTTTTGAACCCCACAACGTCTAGTCTCATAACACATTCATTGTTTCTACCCAATCCTACTGCTCCCTCTTCCCCTAAATTTCCCCTGCCGGGAATGTGGGGTCTGGGAAACCTTTTGTTCTATGAGGTCTGTTCTGGGCCCAGCAGGTTAGACATGTGACTAGAAATCAGCTGCCACAAGGCTGCGGGTCTAAAAGGCAAATCAGGCCTGGTGCATGGCTGCGGGGAGGCACTGGCTTTTTGCCTTGGGAACCCAATTCCACCTTTGCTCTGATCTTTTCTCTTTTCTTTTCTTTTCTTTTCTTTTCTTTTCTTTTCTTTTTTCTCTTCTCTTCTCTTCTTTCTTTCTTTCTTTCTTTCTTTCTTTCCTTCTTCTTTCTTCCTTCCTTCCTTCCTTCCTTCCTTCCTTCCTTCCTTCCTTTTTCTTTCTTTCTTTCTTTTTTTAAAATATATTTTTATTGATTTTTTACAGAGAAGAGGAGAGAGGGATAGAGAGCTAGAAACGTTGATGAGAGAGAAACATCGACCAGCTGCCTGACTCCTGCACACCCCCTACCGGGGATGTGCCCGCAACCAATGTACATGCCCTTGACCAAAATCAAACCTGGGACCCTTTCAGTCCGCAGACCGACACTCTACCACTGAGCCAAACCGGTCTCAGCTGCTCTGATCTTTTCATCCACCAGTCGTATAAAGCTGAAAAGACCACAAGCTGCATGGAGCACAGATTCTAAGAAATGGGAACAGGCTTTCAGATCACTACGTAGAACACTTCCTGAGTGTGTGCTGCAGGTGACCACCCCTGCAGGTGCTCTCCCCAAGAGGCTGCCTAATGTACTGGGGAAGTGGCACACTGCATCCTCCCAGAGTCTGAGCACAGTCGCTCGGCCATGCCCCAGAGTGAGGGAAGTATGTCCAGCTCACATGCTGGCTTTGGTCGGGGGATTGGGCCTCCCTTCCCAGGTCACAGGATCTCTGTGGGAAAATGCTCTGAATTTCAAATCTAATGCTCCATGAACTGGAAACATCCTAGAGGCCACCACATTTTCTTGATGGTAGTAGACACTCAGAAACATCGTGTGACCCATAAAATGTCTACAAGGTCAAAGTGGCAACAACTGCAATAAAAAATGTATATGTATTTATACATGTCAGCTAAAAGATTAAATGTATACGCAAGATATTTTCTTTCCTGATTCCCTCTCTCTCCATCCCTGCCTCTTTCTTCCCTTCCCTTCCCTTCCCTTCCCTTCCCTTCCCTTCCCTTCCCTTCCCTTCCCTTCCCTCTTTCTCCTCCTCCCTTCTCTCTTTCTCTACCTCCTCCCTCCCTTTCTCTCTCCATCCCTCCCTCCCTACTTTGCCATTTGGGAAGCCCAGGGTACTGATTCATATCAAAAGAATTTTAAGGCTTCAAGATTGGACTGAATATGGAGCTGCCCTACATAAAGATACGAAATCCATGCTCAAAGAGGCTTATTTTAGTGCCAGCAAAGCTCGTTGCATCTCGGAATCGCTCAAAGGCCCAGGTCAAGGCTGGTGGCCTTTGTTACTATTTTTGAAGTCAGACAAACTGTTCACCTGAAACGGTGGCTTTGTGGTAGGAGATGAAAATCGTTTGGAGCTGATACCGGAATCCTAAACTAGTGAATGTCGACATGAAGTCAAACATCTGGACGAAGACACAGAAGACAAAGCCTTCTCCACATGATTTCCAAATGGATTGGGGATAGCACATTGGTCTCAACTACTTTTCCCCCATGTTTCATCCCACTCTTCTTGTGTTGTGTACATAGATAGCTAAAAACCTCAAGGGGGCAGAGGGTCCATGGGTGTCATTTTTAGTTCGAACGTAGAATAATATTTGGATACTCTTATGAAGGCAAATTAAGTATTTTTTTAATTTAGAAAGACATACTACAATACTCAAGGAAAGGCTGGACTTCACCCTAAAAAGAACCGGAATATTAATGTTGACATTCAATGAAAACAAATGGAGGCAATACGCCATTGTGAGGCCTGCAGAGTGGACGTTTGCTATGACTGCTATTTTATTTATGTATTGCTTTGTATTCTTTCACTTCTTTTACAAGGGCAATGAGAAAACTTTGGACCATAAATACACTTCCGGCAACTCTATCTTAAGCTTCTTAGCAGAAAAAGGGGCCAGGCTGTCTGTCAATGGTAATGTCAGCGGGCGAGGAGAGCGGACAGGTAGAGATGGAGCTCACTTCCAACACCTGTTATTTATGAGGTACTCTACTTGTGTTCCTTCAGTTCTATCCCGATGAAGACCTGTGAGGTGTAAATCCTTGGACCCATTTTATATATGAAGGATATAAACTCAGGAAAGTTCCATGGCTTGTCTAAGACCAGGGAGCGGGGAGCTGCATAGGGTGTGAACTCTGACCTGCGTGTTCTTTCCACGACAGCAGTCCAACTGCCACAGGGAAAGGGGTTTCACGCAAACCAAAACGTAGGTGGATAGAATGGAATTTTGCTGCTTAAAGAGACAACTGGCCCTGACCATTTTGGCTCAGTGGATAGAGCGTTGGTTTGCGTACTGAAGTTGGATTCCGGTCAAGGGCATGCACCTTGGTTGCAGGCACATCCCCAGGTGGGGGTGTATAGGAGGCAGCTGATTGATGTTTTTCTCTCATTGAGGCTTCTAACTCTATCCCTCTCCCTTCCTCTATTAAAAAATTAATAAAATATATATAAAAAAGAGACAACAGCATTTCACAAGAATATGCTTATTGTCACCAGTAACCTACTCCTGAAATGACTTTAATCACCCGGTTGATCCCATGCAAAGAAACACACCAGAGATATTAGGAGCCGCCTTTGAGGGCTTTGCTTTGCGGCCCTTCCTGTTACCACATGTAACATCTAAATTAGTCTCCCCAGACCTCTTAAATAGAAGGAGTTGTCTGATGGCACATGAACATTTTTTCCTGTTTTCAAGTCTCAAAAACTGAAAGGAATGAGCCACATGCAGAACGATCCATACTCTGGACATGAGTCTGACATACCTTAGAATGGTGTAAGTTTTGCAAATACCCACTGTGGTCTATGCATGTTTGTCAAAACTCAAACAGACTGTTTCAAGAAGTCTTATCCAAGACATTGAACTCCCAAGAATATGCTACACTGCAGTATCAATGTAATTCTTCCATATGGGGTAAGAAACCATTAAAGAGTATATTCATATTGATATCAGAGAGGAAGGGAGAGGGAGAGGGAGAGATTGAAACATCAATGGTGGGAGAGAATAACTGAGCGGCTGCATCCCGCATGTCTCCTACTGAGGATTGAGCCCACAACCTGGACACATGCCCTTGATTGGAATCGCACTCGGGAGGGACCCTTCTGCAGACGACACTATCCACTGAGCCAAACGGGATAGGGCTGATGCAATTCTTTACATATATTTCAAATACAGTGAACAGAGAAGAGCTGTCAAATTAAAGTGACATTTTCGAATTCTCCTGATTACACATGAATTCTTGGTTACAGCCATATCTGTTCTATCTGCTTCAAATGCAGAATGCCATTCAATTTGTACCATCTTGAAGACGTGTGTGTATTATGGGAACACTTGTTTTCTAGAACTGCTTTCATTTTCCAAGTTTGTAATACATGGGCTAGTTTTTAGACCTAATGACAAATAGGACTCTAAGAGGCATAACAGCACGAGGACATCATTGTAAGACTAACTTCCATTGTAAGTTATTGTAAGCCAATGGGCCAGGCACCAATTATTTTTTTAGGTGTCTAATTTGGCTGCTATTCAAGATAGAAAACCACAAACACTGTATGGGGCACTGACATTCATTTTTCGTCCAAACAAACCCAGACTATTATGTCCTACTAGTTAGAAACAGCCACCAGAGAAACCGACAGGCCCAGGAAAGGAACGAGAGGGCTGGAAGACACTTTCTATATTTTGATTCCAGAGAAAGAAAGGGGTTCGTCAAATCTGAAAAGCGAAGTTAGTAGTTGAGCAATGACATTTCCGATACCAGGCAGAAGTGGAGTGCTACAGAAAACGGAGTCCGCACAATTCCTTATACTAGTTATACCTTTGTTTTTTGGTAAACATGCCAAGTAGCTTAATGGAAAGTTGGGCTTTCAATACATTCGAGGTACATTTGGGAAAAGGTTTAAACTGTCCCTGGAGGGCGGCTACTCACCACATCGAAGGCGGTAAACACGTGACAGTAGTGGTGATTGGACTTCAAATCTTTCGTGATGTAAGCAAACGTGGAGAGGTCTTCTGGGTCCTGGGCGGCACAGGAGATGTTACGGATTTCATGCTCGGCAATTATGTTCTAGAAGAAAAGACATGAATGACCGTTGCTTTCCTTTGCAGACCAGCATGTTTTGTTTTGTTTTATTTTATTTTATTATTATTTTTTAAAATCCTCACTTGAGGATATTTTTTCCACTGAATTTTACAGAGAGTAGAAAGGAGAGGGAGAGACAGAGAAACACCGATGTGAGAGCGACACATCGATTGGCGTTTCCCCCATGCCCTCGACCAGGGCTGGGAGCCTGCAACTGAGGAAGGTGCCCTTGACCGGAATTGAACTTGGGACCCTTCAGTCCGCAGGCCGATGCTCTATCCACTGAGCCAAACCAGCCAGGGCACAAACCAGCGGATTTTAGAACCAAGGCAACTGAATAGAGAAGCAGCTGCTTTCTCCCTTTCTAGAATGTTCTAGACCAGAAACCTTCAAAGTGATGCAACACACTCTCCACGGGTAGGTGTATGCCAGGACTGGAAGGCATGTCTTCGTTTAATTAAAAACAGATTAAAATAGTCACATCCTGGAGCCGGTGCTCACCAGGTGCTGCACACAGAAGCAGTCGGGGTGGCAGCCACTTCTTTATAGAGAGCGATTGCTAATCACTTCCCTGTCTCCATTCCCCACGGGCACCTGTGGATAGGCAGGGCGGCCTCCTCCTGCCACAGTCTGCCCCAAGGAGGCTGACCCGAACCATCGTCCCAGCAGGCAGGCAGAAGCATCAAAGTGCGGTCTCTCTCTCTCAAAAAAAATATTTTTATTGATTTCAGAGAAGAAAGGAGAGGAAGGAGGGAGGGAGGGAGGGAAAGAGAGAGAGAGAGAGAGAGAGAGAGAGAGAGAGAGAGAGAGAGAGAGAAAGAGAGAGAGAAATATCAATGATGAGAGAATCATTGATTGGCTACCTCCTGAATGCTCCCCACTGGGGATCAAGCCCACAACCCGGACATGTGCCCTTGACCAGAATCGAACCTGGGACCCATTAGTTCACAGGTTTACGCTCTATCCATTGAGCCAAACTGGCTAGGGCAAGGTGCTGTCTTTTGACCCCATGCAGGCTAAGGTGTAGGGGTGGGCTGAGGGAAAGGCCACAATCACTATCTGGGCCTTGGATGCCTTGTTTGAGGTGGGGTCTTAGGGGTGACACTGTGTACAACTTTAAGTGGTACTGGGGTTCTCATTAGCTTACAGGTGAGGAAATGGTACCCAGAGCCCGGAAGTACTTTAGGCAAGACATGTGGTAGAGCTGGGATCGTAATGTGGGGTTGCCTGACTGTAGAGTCCAGGCTCTTTCAAATAACTTTTTTTAAAAAAATATATTTTTTATTGATTTTTCACAGAGAGGAATGGAGAGGGATAGAGAGCTAGAAACACCGATGAGAGAGAATCATTGATCAGCTGCCTTCTGCACAACCCATTCAGGGGAATGTGCCCACAACGAATGTACATGCCCTTGACCGGAATCGAACCCAGGACCCTTCAGTCCGCAGGCCGACGCTCTATCCACTGAGCCAAACCGGTTTCGGCTCAAATAACTTTTAAAAAATATATTTTTATTGATTTCAGAGAGAAAGGGAGAGATAGAAACATGGGGGAAAAAAGAAGAAGAAACATCAATGATGAGAGAGAATCTTCGATCGAATGCCTCTTACATGCTTCACAGTGGGGATCAAGCCCGCATCCTGGGCATGTGACCTCCTGGTTCATAGGTCAGCATTCAACCACTGAGCCACACTGGCTGGGCTCTTACAAATATTTGATTCCCCTCATCCTTACCCAGCTCTCACTGGTTTAACATAATTTCACTTTTCTCTCTGTAGCATTTTTTATGCCATCCCTCTGCCAGCACCCTCATCCCAACCTGCCTCTGAGTGGGAGGAGTGAGGAAAGGTGTAAGAACCCTTATCCTGACGCACAAGATGACTAAGGAGCATCGTTGGCTACAGATCTCTGCCAGAAACTTCTTTGGACAACTAGATGTATTTAAAAAGCAAAAAATTTTCACATAATAATGCAATCATTTTTTATCTTGTGATATCCCCTTTATGTTTTCTGCAGTTGTCATAGATCTAACACCTTCAATGCTTTAGTTAGCCTAATTGGGTTTTAATTGCACAGTCTTAAATAACCCGTAGGCAATTTAATGTTCCATGTATACCCATCAATGTCTACAGAGACATACAAAATGTCCTTCCCTGCCAGCAGCCCCAGCGAGGACTTCATGTCCCTCTCCCTCCCGAGCTGTGTGGCTGGGAAGCAATTAGAGAATTAACACATAAAAGAAAATGAAATTAAGACATCCTTCACCGGGGGCATGTCTGTTGACATTACATGCAACGCTCTGTCAACTATAACTCAAATTGAAATTGGAATCCCATAAACAAGTAACATCCTATTGAAAGATACACGGTTTCAAAACAGAAGGTCATGGAGCTGCTTCTGGCATTCAGAGAGCATTTCTTTGAGTAGAAATAGAAATTAGGAAGAAGAAAGTCTTAAAATGAATTTAAAAATAATGAGATCTACAAAGTCTTTACAGGTACTGTGGAGCAGGTGCTGAGAGCCTCTACCAACATTTTAATTGGGGGCCTGTCAGTACCTCGGGAAGACTGGGTGGATCTGGTCTCACCTGTCCAGGATTCACTATTACCAGAAACAGAACTTTGGCTCCAAATGTTAACTAAATTGGCATTTCGTGTTCTTTTTTTTTTTTTTTTTTTTTTTTTTTTTGTGTGTGTGTGTGTGTGTGTGTGTGTGTGTGTTTGTGTGTTAATCCTCACCCAAGGACATTTCCCCCATTGATTTTTAGAGAGTGAAAGGAAGAGACACACAGAGAGAAACATTGATGTGAGAGACACGTCATTTGGTTGCCTCCCCATTGCACCCCAACCCAGCTAGCGATTGGGTTGGGGATTGAGCCTGCAACTGAGGTACATGCCCTTGACTGGAATCGAACCTGTAATCCTTCAGTCTGAGCCAAACACAAACATTTTGTGTCCTTGAGATCATTTATCAGCATAAAGTGGATCAACTTCTTGGGAAAGCATTACAGTGATAAGTGCCCCATGGTTATTATTGCACTAAATTCTCTGAATCTTGCCAAATGATAAGATGTCATACTTGATGATTTTCAATGGTGTATGATAGCATTGTGGCACTGGGCCTGTGTAGGGAGTTTTTAAAAAAAATTTTTTTTTTAAAAATTGATTTCAGAGAGGAAGGGAGAGGGAGAAAGAGATAGAAACATCCATGATAAGGAGGAATCATTGATTGGCTGCTTCCTGCATGCCCCCAACTAGGGATTGAGCCTATCCCCCAGGCATGTGCCCTTGACCAGAATTGAACCTGACTTCCTGGTTCATAGGTTGACACTCATCCCCACTGAGCCATGCCAGCAGGGCTAGGGAGGGTTTCTTTTTCTTCTTTTTTTTTTAATTTTATTTATTTATTTATTTTATTTTTTTAGCAAAACTTGATATATCCACAGTGCCGAAATGTGGTGAGGACCTGAGATCTCACTACTGAAAAACCAACATCATCATGAGGGGCAGGTGACACACCTCAGTTTAAAACGAACTCCTACATGGCTCAGCTCCCAAACATATGCATGCTCTAAGGAGCCTAAAGTTTTACAAAGGCGCAAGAGAAGGACTGGGCGGGGCTCACTCTGCCCTGTCTCTGGGATAGAAAGTTGGGCAACAACGACCTCCTTTAACAAGGAGAGGCTGTGTGTCCACCTGTTGCCTTTCATCGTGTTGAAGAACAGCTGAAGAGGTGCTTCTCCGGCCTGTGCAGAGCAGAAGTTTTGGTCCAGACAATTAACAGAGAGGCTCTGAGAAGGAGGTGTGGTAATGAAGCGATGGAGCCTACATCGGCCTCTACCTGCTTTCCTCGCTCTGGGCTCCGACAGGTAGGGACCCCGAGGCAGGCCTAGCAGCTCCGGCCCAGGACTAACCTGAGACACCTGCAGAGTCGGTGATGCTAATGAGCACAGCACACATGCTCCATGGGCTCTTAATCTGACGTCAAAACACAACAGGCACTTGTTTAGGCAAATGTTCTATTTTGTGCCTAAAAACTAGGATACGCCCTATTTGAACTTGGCATTCAAAACAAGCAAACAAACAAAACCCAAACCCAGGCGCAGGCCATTCCTAATTTAGCCAGGTGCGAAGATTGAGGAGGCTGGGCAGGAGGGGGCTGGGCAGGAGGCCAGATACAGCCCACCCTCATCCAAGCTCTGGACATGGGGACGTGTCACCTCTGGGAGACCCTGCTGACTAAACGGTCACAATCCCCTGGGCCGAATGCTATGCCAGAGCTGCCTCTGAGCTATGGAGCTACATGATGTGCTTCATCTACAACATTTTGGTACTAAATAAATTTCAAGTTCCATTTTTAAATTAAAAAAAAAATATATATATATTATATATTGATTTCAGAGAGGAAGGGAGAGAGGGAGAGAGAGAAAAAAAATCAATGATGAGAGAGAATCACTGATGGGCTGCCTCCTGCATGCCCCACTGGGGAGCAAGCATGAAACCTGGGCATGTGCCCTTGACTGGAATCAAACCCAGGACCCTTCAGTCCACAGGCCAATGCTCTATCCACTGAGTCAAACTGGCTAGGGCCAAATTACACTTTTAACTTAAGATCGTTTTCCACTCTTCCTTCTTGAAGCAAGATTCATGATTTGTTTCCTAAGTTATCAGGCAATAAATTTGAGTTTACAACTAGGTAGCTAACCCTTCCTCTTGAACTCAGCCAAAGCCACTTACTAACTAGAATAAAAGGGAAAGAATGCTTTTCAGGAGGGTTTAGTTTTCACAGATCTAATGGGGACCCAGAGGAAATGAATAGTAATTAACACAATCATCTGTTATACTTCTAACTAGTTGGTGGAAGGCAGCTGTGGAGTAACAAAAGCGTTAGGCTAGGGCATTAGTGGCAAACCATAGCTCGCGAGCCACATGCTCTTTGGTTCCTTGAGTGTTCTAACTCCACTTCAAAATAGACTCACCCAGGATGAAAACCGACTTCTACACATGGGCCACCAAGTTTCAATTGCACTGTACATGCATGCCCGCACGTGGTATTTTGTGGAAGAGCCACACTTAAAGGGCCAAAGAGCTGCATGTGGCCCGTGAGCTGGTTTGCTGACCACTGGGGTAGGGGGTGGGAAAGTCAAGTTTTAGTCCTTCTCCAAGATCAATTGGCTGTGTGACTGCGGGGCAGTCCCTTAACCACTCCACTTGTCCAGGTCAGGTTGAACCAACCCCTCGATTGTACCAGGGCAGAGTTAAAGAGATATAGTGGTTATGAGAGGGCTGTTTATGAAGAAAGTGCAAGGAAAACATCTACACTAATAAAAGAGAAATATGCAAATTTGCCATACCTCCGCAATGCCTACCAGCCAATCAGGAGTGAGTATGCAAATTAACCAAACAAAATGGTGGGTTAATTTGCATACACAGGTATGGAGTGAAGACTGAAGGCTCTGCCTGAGCAAAGACTGAGACAGACTGAAGACTGAAGATTGAAGACTGAAGGCTCGGCTGTGGCTGGAGCCAAGCCTGAAGGCTGAAGACTTGGCTCCACTGCAGCCTGGGTCTTGGGTGCCCGAGGAAAATTGGTGCCAGCAGCCAGGGGAAAGAAGGCCTATTGCATGAATCTTCATGCAATGGGGCCTCTAGTCAAATATAAATGCTAAGGTGTGACTGGGTTGAGCCTAATTACAGGCCTAGTGGTCACTAGTAACTAAAGGTGCCAAGTCTTCCAATATATATCTACATGTTGCACGTCCTTCTCTTCAAATCAAAGTGCTCACCAAGATGATACATCCCAGGGGAGAAATCTCTGGTACAGACCAACAGCAGGACTCTGGAGTTTATGTACCTGTTCCTTTCCGGCTGTGGGCATTATATGTCATTTTTTTTGCTGCAGAACAGAATGTTATACAAAGATGCCACTGCAAACACTGCTAGCATCTAGGTGTCTGAGCACAGTTCCTTCCATGCCACAACCTGAGGGGTCAGGGTCCTTCAATTGTGGGTCCTCCATGACTTCTGAAACCAGTCCTTCAGCCCTGGTTGGTGGTAGTGCTGCTCAGCCTCCTATAGTCACACCCCACCAGTGTGGCGTTGCACCCTTGCTTTTTTTCTTCTCTTCCAAATACTACCTGTCTACTTTAGTCCTCACACAGCAAATCCTAGACTACTGTCCTGAGTCCCCTGCTCTCTCCCAATCCGTTGTCAGATTGGGGCAGATCAACTACTTTGCAGGACCCTGGGAGGGGGACCCTGGATAGCCAGTTGAGGTCAATGTCCCCACATTACTAAAGAATCCAGGCACAGCCCTGGCCTATGTAGCTCAGTTGGTTGGTTGTCAACCCCACGCATGAGAAGATTTGATTCCTGGTCAGGGCATATGCCTGGGTTGTGAGCTTGATCCCAAGTAGGGGGTATGTAGGAGACAGCCTATTAATATTCTGCTATCACAATGATGTTTCTTTTTCTCTCTCCCTGTCCCTTCCTCTCTCTCAAAATCATATAAAGAAAATATATATAAAAAAGAAAAATCAATAAAATATATATAAAAAAGAAAAATCCAGGCACATAGTCATATAGTCATAAAAAGGCTGGCTCCAACTATCACCACCATTGCTCTAGATTTGAAAATATGCAGAGGACCACCATGAGGACTTAAAAGATATGCTGGCTTTCTTTATTTAGTGTCTTTATTCACCCAAAATTACTTTTTGCGTATCTCTTGGTGCTTATATTTTTTTAAACAGTAGTATATAGTATTTTCTTTTTTTGGTACATATAGTACTTCCAAAGAGAAGTCATCTGTGAGCAGAGATCTATCTAATTATTGGCGATTGAAACTTGCTAAGGTTGTTCATCTAAGTGAGTGTCAAACTCACACACTGAAAATATATCGCTATTCATGGCTTTCAAATGCAGATGGGTGGAGACAGTTGCTCCAGGTTAGAAAAAACTCCAAAAGCCAGAGCCGTTCTTGAAATATAGACTTAGTGGTGGCAATGGTATTTTCAGTGAGTTTGAGGACTTTTAAAATCAACTGACTATCATTTAAGGATAACACAAGTTTATACTCCAATAAAAATGTTTCCCAGAAATAAAAAAACAAAACAAATCAATTG